GAAACCCTATACATGTAAGCAGTGTGGCAAAGCTTTCAGCAGCAAAGCAGGTTGGCGAATGCATGAACGGAGTCACACTGGGGAGAAACCCTACGTATGTGTGCAATGTGGGAAAGCTCTCAGGAGCAAAGAAGATTGGAAAATTCATTATAGCAATCACTCAAGGAAACCGTATGCATGTAAGCAGTGTGGGAAAGCCTTCAGCACTTCCGATGCCTGTCAGCAGCACGAACTTATTCACACTGGAAAGAAACCCTACTTATGCAAGCATTGTGGAAAAGCTTTCTTCACGCCTTCAGCTTGTCAGAGGCATGAAGGTATTCACGCTGAGGAGAAACCCTATGTATGTAAGCAGTGTGGGAAAGCTTTCACAACACAGAGTGGATACCAAATACACGAAAGAATTCACAGTGGGGAGAAACCGTACGCATGTAAGCAATGTGGGAAGGCCTTCAGATCACAGGGTGCGTGTACAATGCATGAAAGAACTCACGGTGGAGAGAAACCCTATGAATGTAAGCATTGTGGCAAAGCTTTTCTCGTACGTGGTAATTTAAAGGCATGAATGCACTCACACTGGGGAGAAATCTTATGTATGTAAGCAGTGTGGCAAAAGTTTCAGTGATCGCCAGGCTTGTCATAGCCATGAACAGAGACACACTGGGGAAAAACCCTATGTGTGTAAGCACTGTGGCAAAGCTTTCAGTGAACGTCGTTCTTTTCAAAGGCATGAAAAGAGACACACTGTGGAAAAACTATATGCATGTAAGCACTGTGGCAGAAGATTCATGGATCGCCAGCATTGTCACAGCCATGAACAGAGACACACTGAGGAAAAACCATATGCTTGTAAGTACTGTGACAAAGTTTTCAGTGAGCATCGTTCTTGTCAAAGTCATGAAAAGAGACACACTGGGGAAAAACCATATGCATGTAAGCAGTGCGGCAAAAGTTTCACTTATCGCCAGGCTTGTCAGAGCCATGAACAGAGACACACTGGGGAAAAATCCTATGCATGTAAGCAATGTGGCAAAGCTTTTAGCGACCTTCGTTCTTGTCAAAGGCATGAAAAGAGACACTCTGAGGAAAAACCCTATGCATGTACGCACTGCAACAAAACTTTCATCGAACTTTATGCTTGTCAAAGGCATGAACGGAGACACACTAGAACAGAAAGCTTGTTTATGTAATCATTGTGTACAGCCTTTGTCACCCACAGACATTGTAAAAGATATATATGGACTCACCCTGGGGAGAAACCATTTTCATGTAAGCAGTGTGGAAAAGCTTTCATCACATGTCTTTTTTCTCAATTCCATGAACACATTCACACTGATGAGAAACTCTACCTATGTGTTCTGTGTGGGAAGCCTTTCAGCAGCAAGGTAGTTTGGAAAGGACATGAAAGGGCTCATGCTAGGGCCTAACCATATACATTTATGTAATTGGCAATACTTTCATAGGATAGTTGTCAAACGCAAGAAGTCACACTGGCAGAAACTCTATGCATGTAAGCAATGGGAAAAAGCTTTCTTCACCCTCTAAGTATGAAAGCAATGTGGAAAAGATTTCAGCACCAAAGATAGGTAGGAAATTCATGAATGGACCCACACTGCAAAAAACCTATCTAAGCATTGGGGAAATCCTTTCATTATAAGTGGTGTTTGTCAAATTCATGAATGGACTCAGGACAAAGCCCATACATGGAACGGTAATTGATGCCTGTCAAAGGCATGTTGAGTCTCACACAAGGATAAACCAAGCAATGTGGAAAAACTTAGAGCCCAGAGAATAAAGTTCATGACAAGTCACACTGGGCAGAAATACTGTAAGCAATGTGGAAAAAAAAAAAAAAAAAGAGTTCCTCCTACTTTCTCTTCCAGAAGATTTAGTGTTTGTGTTCTAATGTTTAGACCTTTAATCCATTTTGAATTTAGCTTAGTGCATAGTGATACACCTGGGTCAAATTTTAGTTTTCGGCATGTAGAGAGCCAGTTTTTCCAGCACCACTTGTTGAAGAGGTTATCTTTCTTCCAGTGAGTATGTTTGGCCCCTTTGTCAAAGATAAGGTGGCTGAGTGTGTTTGTAGAAGCTTCTACATCTTCTAATCTATTTCATTGATCCCAGGTATATTTTTTTGGAAATATCATGCTGGTTTTTTCACAATACCTTTGCAGTATAATTTTAAGTAGGGAATCGTAATGTTTCCTGCTTTGTCTTTGTTGTGCACGATTGCCTATGCTGTTCTAGGTCTTTTCTGGTTCCAAATAAATTTTAGGAATGATTTCTCTAGGTCTTTGAGATATGTTGGTAATGATTTGATAGGGATTGCATTAAATCCATACAACAATTTTGGGAGTATGACCATCTTCACAATGTTGGTTCTTCCTATCCAAGAGCAGGGAGTATTTTCCATTTTCTGAAATCCTCTATTATCTCTTTTTTCAGAGAGTACTGTAGTTTTCATTGAAAAGATCTTTGACTTCTTTACTTAGATTAATTCCAACATATTTCATTTTCTGCGGTGCTATCGTAAAAGACATCGTTTTACTTATTTCCGTTTCAGTGTGTTTATTATCTCTGTAGAGGAATGCTATTGACTTTTTGGTATTGACTTTGTATTCTCCTATGCTCCTGAATTTGTGTATTAATTCTAGTAAGTTCCTGATGGAATTTTTTAGGTCTTTCAAGTATAGTATCATGTCATCTGCAAATAATGATAGTTTATCTTCTTTACCTATTGTTACTTGTTTTATCTCTCTTGTTTGTCTAATGGCTCTAGCTAATGATTCCAGAACTGTATTGAATAAGAGGGGTGATAGATGATCTCTGTGTCTTGTACCATATCTGAGAGTAAAAGATTTCAATTTTCCCCCATTTAGAATTATGTTAACAGTTGGATTGTCATAGATGGCTTTATGAGATTCAGGTAGAGGCCATCTCTTCCAACTTTCTGTAGGACTTTGAGCATAAATGAGTGTTGAACTTTATCAAAAGTCTTTTCTGCATCAATTGATATGATCATGTGGTTTTTGCATTTGGCTCTATTGATATATTACATTATATTTATAGATTTGCATATATTGAACCTTCCTTCCATCCATAGGATGAATACTACCTGGTCGTGGTGTATGATCTTCTTGATGATTTGCTGTATTCTATTTGCTAGGACTTTATTGAGGATTTTTGCATTTATGTTTATGAGGGAGATTGGCCTGTAGTTTTCTTTCTTAGTTGTGTCTTTCCCTGGCTTTAGTATCAGTATAATACTTGAATGATTTGGGGAGAATTGCTTCCTTTTCAATTTCATTGAAGAGTCTGTACATTTCTTGTAGAATTCAGCTGTGAATCCATGAGGACCTGGACTTTTCTCTTTCAGTAGGGTTTTTTTTTAAATTACATTTCATATTTCATTCGCTGTTTTTGGGTTATTAATAGTTATATCTTCTTGATTCAGTTTTGGTAATTTGCACCATTCTAGGAATCTGTTCATTTCTTCTTTCTTCTATTCTGTGAGAGTGAAGATTCTCAAGTTAGCTATTGATAATCTTGTTAATTTTCACTTCCTTATTGTTTGTATTTGAGTTTTTTCTTTCCTATTTTTAATATAGTTGGCTAGGGGCTTATCAATTTTATTTAATCCAAAGAATCAGTTTTTTGATTCATTAATTCTTATTGGTATTATGATTTAGTTAAAATTTAGAGCACAGTATATCTAACAATATGCTTGGATATTTTTGTAAATGTAATATGTCTAAATCAGAACTTCACCCAATAGTTGTTACTTTGAAAAAATTGTTAAATTTGTAATAATATTGTTATTTACAAATGAATCATTCAGTCTGTATTATCAATTTATAATATTATAAGGAACTCAAAATAAATTTTCTGCATATTAAAAAGTGTCTTTTCCAGAAAAATCACACAGGTTCATATTATTCTCTAATGATATGTCATGCAAACTGTAAATTTAGAAAATCAATTTATTGACAAATTTATCCATATTGTAAAAAATCATGGTTGAAAAAAACTATTAATTAACAATGTAAATTTAAAAAGATAAGTCAGAAATTTTTATAATATGATAATGCTGATATATATTTCAAAAACATACAAAAATAAACAATATGTGGTATAGGAATCTGACCACTCATTATAAAATCCTCAACAGAAGGCAGGAAATTAAATCAATCCTTCAAGTCAAACATTACAATTTAGGAATCAGTTTTGGGGAATGGATGACATCAAGAAGAGGTATGGGTGTTTCAGAGTTAACAATTTATTTTTTGAATTGCCACTTTTGTATCTTACATTTTTCCAGTATTGGAGAGTAAATCCATGCCCTTTGTATGAAACTACATCTGTTATAAAAAGTTTGGTGACTGTGTGTTTTTGGGTTAAGATCTTGCTAGCGCTCAGATTTCCTAACCTGACTTTTTTGTTTTTTAAACTCCCAATATTTTATTTGCATTATTTAAGAAAAACAAGACATAATCACTGTAAATCAAGGGAAAAAACCAAAGTTCCATAGAAATTATAATTTTTCATTATAATATCTAAAATATTTCAAACAAAATTCAAGTTATAAATACAAGTTGCCAGCAATTATTGCCACAAAGTGTATGAGTTTATTATTTTCTAGAGTTTGTGCTCAGTGACTACTTATAATCTATTAACTGTTAAATATGATGAAATAAAAAATGATTCCTGAACTATGAAAAAAAATTAAATGACTGGAAAGATAACATCAAAGTGTTTACAATGATGGCTTTCAGGTGTTGGGACTTAGGGTGATTTATAGTCTCTGTTCTTTCCTTCATTACATTTTTTTCCG